TATGAAAAAAAAAATTATCCATTAATTTCAATATAAATAAAGATTCTCCCTTCCATATTCATTGCAATAAATATCACTTAGCCTCACTTAACCACAATATTCAATATATGAAATTGAAAATACATATTCTCATTAAATAGTTATCCTATATTTTTCTTATGTAATTTAGAGAAGAAACAGGAATTCTCTCGAATGAGGGCGATCTTCTCTTACCCTAAGAGCTTCACTCCTTCGAATGCAGGCTTTCTCCCCTTGTAATGAGGGGATTTTAGTTCTCTCTGTCAATCACAACTCATCAGCGCAACCTCTTTCCTTCTAATATATAGCATCCATCAATTTGTGATACTCTTCGTCTCCAAGTTAGTAAATTTCTTCAAGATCACCCAGCTCTTATCGCAGTTATCTATGGCGGACGATCTCTCAGCAAAATTCGAAGCATGTCAATTATCAGAGCAAGAAAGTACAATTATCCCTATCGAATCAACGGACATAGCTCAGAGTGCGGAAGATTGCAATAAGAGCTTACTGGGGAAAATATTGGGACAAAAACGAGCAAGCCTCATAGGAATCAAACGTGCGGTTAATCAAATGTGGCAAACCAATGCCCCGGTGATGGTCAGAGAAATAAGCCCTAATTTTTTCCAGTTTCTTTTCTCTGATAACCTGGATAAAAGTAAAGTTCTGAAGGGGTTAAATTGGACATTTGAAAAACAATTCCTTATCCTCAAGGAATGGGCACCTGATCTGTCATCTAATCATTCTATTTTTAATGATCTTGAAATTTGGGCTCAAGTTTGGAATTTGCCGTTGCATTGGTTCTCGACAGATGTTGGGTTAAAACTGGGGAAAATCTTTAAGCAGGTTCTAGACGTTAATGTTCCAAGTGGAGGGCTGTTGGCAGGCAAATGCATACGGCTAAAGGTTATAATGGATGCGACGCAGCCACTCATACGATGCGCTAACCTGCAGATGGGGGACAAAAAAGTTCTAGCCCAATTTAAATATGAAAGGCTAACTAATTTTTGCTTCTACTGTGGGCGTTTGGGACATCTGGACAGATCATGCGACAAGAGGGAAGAAGATATAAACAAAAACTGTTTGAAAGAAGGGCTGTTTGGTAGCTGGCTAAGAGCAGCAGATGGAACCACCTCTCTATTCTCTTCCACTTTGGATAACCCCACCCCAATTATTTCAGCACCACCATCACCAACATCATCTCCAAGTCATAACACATGCCCTAACACAAACAGTGCTCAAGCTTCCCCAGGTAAAACCACCAATGAACTTGATTTACCCAAAAAACAACTCACCCATAGCTTTTCAAAAATCACACCTTCCTCTGAAAATTCAGAAACTGACACACCTAACACTAAAACCAACAGCCATATCCTACCCATGGAAACCGAAGAACCGCAAAATACACTTCCCCTCCAGACTGCAAACCTTAAAATAAACTCCCTACCCAATCCTCAACCTGATAACAAATCCCTCACCCCTAAGTGGAAGAGAAGGGATTCACCAAGGAAAATGGACAACCAACCATTGGACACAACCACAGGTGTCAAAAGAGCTATTGAGCAGTTGGAAGTCCCAAACAACAACTCGCATCAAAAAGAACCCCACAGTGAGCTCCTACCTAAAAAGCCTAAGCTATCAGATGCAATGGTGGAGGAGGCCAGCCATAAGTGGCCCCAATCTCCAAAATGAAGGCTGCGGTGTGGAATTGTAGAGGTGCGGGTGGCCCCTCTACAATTCCCCAGGTTAAGGAGATTTGGAAGCTCCACCACCCAAATTTTCTTTTTTTATCAGAAACAAAAAAGAAAAATGGCTTTATCAAAACAGTATGTAGAAATCTGGGAGTGAGTAATAGTTGGACCTCTGTGGAACCGGTGGGCAAGAGTGGAGGACTTTTGTTATGTTGGAGCCAATCGTTGCAGGTCTTTACAATCATTAAAAACTCGTTCAGCATAGAGATTGAGTTTTGGGAGGAGGAGAAGCAATTGATATGCTGGGGGATTTTTGTTTATGCAAGTACAAATGGAGAAGAAAGGAATGCGCAATGGAACTATCTAAATTCCAGGAGAGCCAAATGGGGAAAATTCTGGTTCATAGGAGGAGACTTCAACGACATCAGATTGCCTGAAGAAAAAAGAGGTGGTATCCAAAGATCAATTGCATCCTG